CACCTCGTGATCACACAGGCTGGTGTGCTTCTTCCATGTGGGCTTTGTTGCTTCTGAGCTAGATGGCCACTTATTTGCCTTCAGTCCTTTAAGACCCCAGATGCTATATCTTTTGATAGATGGGATACATCCGCTTTCCTCACCACATTTTCTTATGCACCTGCTTTGTCTTCAGTGATCATGTCAGGAAGGTGAGCATCATGGAATGCCAGTTTAATAGCACAAAATATTCTTGAATTGAGGGAGTATTTAAATGGAGGCCCAATGTCCATCTGCTACCTTAATACTAAACCTATAAATATATGCACATACATCTATTTCCCCATCCTCATATATAAATATATTTACATATGTACATGCCTTTATTTAGACCTCTATTAATGCCCTTTGCCTCCTAGTTCTTGCCTCTATTTCTGTTTACTTTCCTCTTGTCCCACTATCATGTTCAGCCTTCATTTGGGTTTCAGTAATTCGTCTCGGCTACATTGCCTTTGATCATGCCCTACCAGGCCTTGAGGAGGTCTTTTTGCAGCGTGGCTTAATCCACTGCTCAGGAGTTAATTGCAATCATACCCACCCTATGCCGGTTTCTCAAGGCTGTAGATTTTTATGGGAGTAGAGAACCTCATCTTGACTAGTGTTGGCCTAAGCATTGGCTGTGGATCCAAACAGAATCCCTGACAACTTCCACCTGTTCCCTGTTTATTGTAATCCTGTTTATCAGTCTGTTTATGAAGCTCTTTGTTTCCTTTGCATTGAGGTGCAATCCATACTGAGGGCTATAGGCGTTGCTCTTCATCAGTACATACTTCAAGTCCTCTTCACTTTCATCTGCACACGGACGGTGTGTAATGAGTCTCCCACGTATAGTCCCGCTCCTTGGCTTCCTTGCTCAGCCTGCAGATGAGGAGTCTGGTGAAGGAATACAACCGGGCAGGACACGCACCTTTCCTGAGTTTAAACCACCCAGTGTTGGTCTATTTAGAGTATGCGTTGAGCTGCTAACCTTAAGGTCAGCAGTTTGAACCCACCAGCTGCTCCAAGGGAGAAAGATGAGACTTTCCACTGGAATAAAGAGTTACCGTCTTAGAGACTCACAAGGAGCAGCTGCACCTTGTCCAAGAGGGTCCCTGGGAGTCAAGAGCGACTCAGTGGCAGTAAGTTTGAGTGTATGCAGTCAAGGAAGCTAGA